ATTTAATTTTATAAATTTTATTATTGTGTTATTGCTAAAAGTACAATACGTGACAACTTTTAGTGATTAAGGGTTGTTATAGGTTTTTAGAGTTTGTTGTATGGTTTAAAGGTAACTCACGCAAGGTGGTATTTGCACAATTATATTGGGTTCCATCTCAATCTTGAGGTTTAGGTATTTATATAAGTTTTTGAGTCGGGATCTCAAACTCATTAGAAATAGTAATCGCTCCCAAAAACGTGGAAATTGGGCAGTTAATTTCATATTATTCGGGACAACATGGTATATTTCCCCTTGACTCCCACTCCACATTGTTATGGACTGAGATATTTCACTTTCACAATTCTCTCGTAAGGCGCTCGATCTGAGAAATGGACGCTCGAACTAATAAAGGGATGATTAGGATGCCGTTTGAAAGATACCTTACACCTTTCTCCTTTCACTCCGCCCTTTATGGACCATTTGCAAATATAACAATACATATTAAAAAATATCACATATTTGTGGTTGTAGAAACTAGAAGAGACATAAAAATGTGGTGTATTCTATTAATAAAAAAAATTAAATTTTGATATGTCTAGTAGCAACCAAACATGCGTATAATTCTTAAATAGTTGATAAATTATTCAAATTTAATGTTTAACAACATAAAAAAAAAATAAAGTTTAAATTGTAAATTATTCTTCTCTTAATTATTGTAAAATAGTTTTGATGTCAACAACACTCTTAAGACAAGTCTTCATCAGTCTTGTTGTTCAATACATGTTGGTTAAGATCATATAATCTAATGTGTTGATCAAGTGAGGGTGCTTGACATGCTGTTGATCAATTGATGGTGTTTGATATGTTGACCAGGTGGTGGAGTTTGATATATTGATAAAGTGATGGTACTTTAGTCTTGATAAAGTGACAATGCTTGATGTGTTGATGAAGTGATGGTTCTTTACGATTTTTTGATCAATTGATGGTGCTTGACATGTTGACCAAGTGATGGTACTTGAAAACAAAATGTGTTGATCAAGATAAAGCCTACAGATCATATGATGCAGGGATTAAGTATATATGATTGATTATTAAGTTGTGTTGATAAAGTTATGCTGATTAAGGTTGTTATACTTAGAGATAACTTTTTATGTGTTTATCTGTGAAGACAACATCTTATGTTAAACGATATTCGGTGAAGTCAGCAAAGATCTCTGATCAAACGGTTTTTCTAATGACGAAGGTTATCATGCAGAGTTATCTTAAGCCTTATCAGAAGAAAAATCAATATTCTAGTTAAGTGCTAAAGTCAAAGATAATGTGGCAAGGAATCAAAAGCTTTAGAGTTGTTAAATAGAGGAAGTGTGAAAGCTCTTCAATCCGTTTCAAGTGATTAATGTCTATAAAGGTATAAGATTGACTCTCAATTTTACTAATGCAAATAACACAATAACACACACACACACACACACATGCACACGCACACACACACACACATACACACACACACACAAACACGCGCGCGCGCACACACACACAAACCTCTTGAAAAGCCTATCTTGATTTTATAAAATCACCTGAAAAGGCTTTTAAAGCGTGTCCAATTTATTAAGGAGTTGTCTAATCATTTAGAAACACTTTTTATAAAGGATAATTGATCATGCCTTTGAAATAGTCTACTATTTTACTTTATAACACCTAAAGTTGATTGGAGAAGTTCCTTAAATGATTGACAACGACTTGGAATAAAAACCTTCTATTTTGGCGTTCCATTATTGATTGTGCACTTGACATAATCAATTATGAGGCTTAATTAACATGTGGATTGTTTCCTAATTTGCACCATGTTTTATCACATAAATGAAGAATTTCTCTATCATTTTAAATCATTCAGAAAATACGTTTTTATCCTTCTTTCCAACTCTAAACTATTTTTCTACAAATATCTCATTTCTTACTTTAGTTTTTCCTTAGTGTTTGAGAGTGACTTTGTGCTTTGTGAGGATCATTGTGTTTGGTGTGGGGCTAAATTTGTAAATTTCTCAAAAGTGTATTATCTCTTATAAGATATTTTTCTTATAATAATGTGTCATTTGATTACGAGTTAAACCCTTAAAAGCTCTTGTTTGATTGTTGAGGTAAACAAAGTAAAATCTCTTTTTGGTTGGGGAGATCTCCATACTTAAAACTCTCATTCGGTTCGTAATCTTAGCCATTCGTTAAAAGCTTTCTCTTAGTTCGTGAGTTTAGTCTATGCTAATATCTCTCTCATTAGGGTTTTTGTCATTTTAAAGTTTCTAATCGATTAACCTTAGGTCTTAATTGATTAGATCATTAAAAGGACGATGAACTTTTTTTCCTTTTTGAGCCAAAATTTTCTCCTATAAATAGATGGTTTATTCTTATTTCAAAACATACTAGAAAACATATTTCTATCATACTTTATCCCTTTTTACTCTCTTTATTTCATCTGTCTTTTTCCCCCATAAAATTGCCTTAGTGCTTTGATAGTGAAAAATATCTACGAGGATTTTGTTGTTCTGGTGCCGTGAAAATATTGTAAGTTACTCAAGAGGAACGTCTCTTGTGTAATATCTTTGAAATACATCACAATTTGTTTTTTTAGCTAAACCAGGTAAAAGCTCTATTTAGTTCTTGAGATTGGACATGTGGAATTTTGGTTTGGTTCCTGAGCTCAGTCTGTTAAAATCTTCTGTTTGGTTATTGAGTTTAGCCGTAAAATTTTTTGTTTGGTTCTTGAGCTCATCCTGTTGTAAAAACTAAGTTCAATTATGAGATTAACCCGATATAAAATCTGTCATTTGGTTTGGGGATTAGCTAATGTAAAAACTTCTATTTGATTGTAAGCCAAACTGTTTAGTTAAGACTCTCATTTCATTTATTAGAAACTCTTAAGAGAAAATTATTCTGGATAGGAGTAGACCAATTGGTTAAACCGAGCCTAATAAATCACAAATGAATTTTCCCTCTCCTTATCTTTTTATATTTGAGTTCTTTATCTTTTTTCCGATGTATTTCCATCTCTTCATCTCTGAGATTTTCTTTCTTTTAATTATTCCAATGCTTAGTCTCTGGTTGATTAATAAAATTAATTTAAACTTTTTTATAAATCAAGATTTTTATAATTAGACATCATTTTCAATCTCCACATTTCACCTTCTTTTGTGTTTAGAGTTGCTTGTCCAACACTCCAACTCAATATTCATCAATGAGATCTTCATTAATGTCCTTTGTCTCAATTTTGGAAATAAAGATCATAAAGTTACATACCTGATTTAAATAATGTTAGGTAGTTATCCCTTTTTGAGATGTCTCATATAACATTCTGAATTAGATGATATTTTGTGGTTCTACATTCTCTAGGTAGTTCATGATGAGAGAATGAACATACATCCAAGAAAGCGAGTCATAAAGTTAAAGTGAAGATCAAACACTGGAATTCTAGCAAGTTGTTTTAGAAAGTTTGTAGCTAACAAATATCTCAAACTCAAGAGCTGACATTAGTAATCTAATTCAATCCTTAATTTAAAAGTTAGAAAAGTCTTGTTGAATTTTAAAAAAAAATCAAAAAAAGGAAGAAATCATATTAAAACTAAAAAAAGGTAATCCAACTTCTAAAAGATGAAGAAATGCCAAGAACGTTAGAAAAATCCTCATAATCTTCATTATAATTTCAAGTCAAATCAAAAGTCTAATAATATAGTTATACTAAATAACCATCTTCCATTATTTTGCTAAGAATATCTACACCACATTTTTAGAACCACATTCACTAGAACGAGCTAAGAATATGGGTATTTAAATCCTCTTTATACATTGATTAATCAATTTCAATTTATCCAATAAATGTAATTCTAAATTATGACATTCTTTAGTAGTCTACTCGCCACGTTCAACATTCTAAACTTAAATACTTCATATTCAAAGCAAGAACCACTATATTAGTTTTTTGATTTTTCAGAAGCAGACGACATTAGTTTTTTGATTAGATCGAAACTTTTATGATAATAGAAACAAAATAGATGAAATAAATTTTGGAGGAACTATTACTTGAAATAAATTTTTAAAGAGACTAAAAATAAAAATCACTATATTTATGAAGACTAAAATTTTATTTAACCCAAAGAAAAATTGTGTGTAAATTTTTTTAGCAATAACTTGAATATATTTATAACAATATCATATAAATTACCGTTAGTTAATATCCTTTGTAATATATACATTCATTATTTTAATGTCATTAGTTTCTATTCGTTGAAATATATATATATAATTAATTTAATAATATTTAATATGTCAATTGAATTAGTTTACGTTGATTTTATATAGCACAGTAAATTGTAACTGCTGTCACCTAAATAAACTTTATTGTTAGTGAATATTACCTACCGTCAACTTTAACAAACCAATTATTTAAGAGCTAACAAAACAATCATTTAAAAACCTGCATTAAAATTGCTCTAACATGTGCGGAACTACTCTTAAATGTCCTTGCACATGAAAGTGATATGGAGAAAAAATGGTCATGCAGTTGCAGGTCATCATGTTTAACATCTAAGCTTGAGATAGGAACATATTTGATTACTTGAAACACATTTATAGACTACTGTCATATTTCTCAAAATTAATATGACAAATGGCCACAAATTCAGAAACTACGAGCCTATTCACTAGCCAAAAATGACACATATGTAACATAAAAAAAGCAATAATAATTCACATATCTTTGTCTTGATTCTATGCATTCTTTTTTTGGTGTGTATTATAAATTTTGTATTTTTTGTCTGCAGGCTTAAAGGGCAAAAATAAAACCAACGCAAAAAATAAAAGTTAGAAAAATTTATTGGCGTTTTCCTTTTATAAAGAAACTGGCGTTGGTAAAAAATAATAAAGAAAAATAGGTAGATCACGCTTACGCAACCAACACTGGCATTGAAGAAGTAGAAGCAGAAGCAGAATCGAGAAGAGAGAACTTAAAATTAAAAGCTAATCAAGAGATGAAGGAAGATGGTGTAAACTCTGCGAATCCCAAACCACATTCTGTTTCTTCTCCTCCAACTCATGCTGCAAGGTTTTTCCCTCTTCCTCTCTCTAGGGTTTCTCTCTCTAGTTCCTTATTTATTTATTTAATTGATCTTATTTACAATTCAATTTCCATTTCTTCATTTTCTCAATTACGTCTCGTTAATTTTTTTTCCTAATTTTATGTTCTCAGTTCAGCCGGAGCGTCATCTCCGGCATGCGACCCTACCGGAGAGGGTATCCGGCGCTACAAATCGAGCGCGGATTCGTACATGGTCATCGGTTCGGCATTGCAAGGTGCTTCAATTCCTTCCTGTAGACCCTGGGAACGCTGCGATTTGCTTCGTCGGCTTTCCACTTTCAAGCTCGCTGGAAAATTGCCAAAGGTTGGCTTCGTTTGTTCCTCATTTTTCTCAGTGTTATGTTTAAGCTGTGATCGAATAGTTATTTTTTAAGAAGTGAATGTTGTGTTCTAGGCAATTAGGTTAAGACAATTGTAGTGAAATTGGGGAAAATTGTTATGAGGTTTGGTCAATGTTGCAGGTTGCTGGTCCTTTGGCTTGTGCCAAGAGAGGGTGGGTGAATGTTGATGTTACTAAGGTTGGGTGTGAATTATGTGGTGCTCAGTTAGATTTTGCGTTGCCCCCAGCTTCCTCTGTTGAAGGTGAGGATATTACTCTAATGATTTTTTCTTTTCTTGCTGTGTGATTGCTGGTCCCACTAGGGTATGATCCAATTCTGTTAAGTGTATGTGTGATATAGAGAAGAGGTGATATAACTTTTTATGCTTGTTTTGTGTTTGGCCTATGGGGTAGGGTGGTTTCCTTCATTATTATTAGCTGAGCTTAAATCAATGTAGCCCTACCTTACCCCAAAACTTATCTCTTCAGGGGGACTCCAATTTGACATTATAGTAAACTGCTTAATTTTTTGTAATAGCGTGGATAAGCTTAAACTAGCATGTCGAATTTGAGATTTGCCTTAGGAGGTAGTGGGAAGGACTAAGGAATTGAAACAGGAGAATATTGATTCTAGATGGAAGAAAGAATTGACTATAGATTCAAATCCTATAATGAAGAGGAAGAGGCACAGGAAAAACCAAAAACATCACTCTACTTTTGATTCTGAAACCAATCTGATTTATTTTGTGCCTTTTCAATGGTTGTAGTAATGGGTCATATTCTGCGAGTCTAGTTGATTCGATCGCATTTGTTTTCTACACCTGGTACTGGGAAGTCTGTGACATCAGAATGGCAACTGGATTGAATTTATTAGATGTTTTTGTTTAACAGATTGTTGCTACGTTATGCTTTCTAAGATGGGTATTTAAATCTGTTGATCTAGTTAGCATTTATTAAAACTATTTATCATCCTTGCCTCTTTTCGTACAATTCCTTTTCTTATGTTTTGGTTCTGCATCCCAATTCCCCTTATCTTGACTTATATGTTGCTGCTGTCTGTGCCCTGATTGTTTTTTCTCACATAATTGGAGAAGCTGATGCTTCCATTGAAGAACTTTCTAAACAGCTTGATAGAGGACACAAAATCAACTGTCCTTGGAGAGGTAATAGCTGTCCAGAAAGCTTGGTGCAGTTCCCTCCTACTTCACCTTCAGCTCTTATTGGAGGTTTCAAGGACCGGAGTGATGGACTCTTGCAGTTCTACTCTCTTCCCATTGTATCTATGTCTGCAGTTGAGCAGATGCGGATTACACATGGCCCTCAAATTGATAATTTTATTGCTAAATTGCAAATTCACACATCTGGAGAATTGGGGTGCAGAGTAGAAACCAGCTTTACTGGAGACCAGGGTCCTCGTTCTTACTCATATGTAAGGTTTTCTCATTTACATAATTTATCTTAATTATTTATTTAAGTGTATTTTATTCCAATTTGGTTTTTGTTGTTATTATCTCTGTCCTTACATTAACATACCACTTCAATAGGCTCAAAAGCTTATAAGTCTATGTGGATGGGAGCCAAGGTGGCTTCCTAATGTGCTTGACTGTGAAGAACAGTCTGCTGAATCTGCTAAAAATGGTTACAATTCTGATCCTACCAAAGGCTCTGTACCAGATCCTACTTCAAGCAAGAAGGAGTTTTCAACTTCGTCCAGAAAAGATACTGGGGATAATGATGTACCGGGTTCAGAATTTAATTGTGAATCTAGGTCACCTTTGTTAGATTGTAGCTTATGTGGAGCTACAGTTAGAATATGGGATTTCTTAGCTGCCTCCCGCCCAGTTCATTTGACTCCCTGTGGGACCGATACCCCTCAAACAAGCAAGAAAATAGCATCAACACGGGGAATAAGTGCAGCTAGTGGCATCAATGAGTGGGCTGCTGCTGGAAGTGTTGAGAAAGAGAGAACTGGAGACCGTGATGAGGCGACAACATCTGATAAAAGGATATTAGTATCCAATAAAGGTTTGGATTTAAATCATAAAATGGCTAGTGGGCCAGGCCGTTATCTAACCAATGTTACATCAACCTTAGATCATGTGCGATGTGCTGGTGAAGGAAGCAGTTCAAGGAATAGGCAGCCTTCTAGAAGTGATATTGGTGATCTGGAAGCTTCTTATGAATCACAAGGTCCCAATGCACGCAAGCGCAGGTTGGATGGTTATGAAACCAGAGCTGACAGGCCACATCTAAGAGTGCAACAGGTTGATAGTGCTGAAAGAACTGCTGCTAACCATGATAATAATGAAATCAGGGGGGGTCAGCAGTTTTCAGCTGGCCCATCAAAGCGTGCTCGCGATACTAAACATTTGGAAGCACCTCAGTTTTCATTAAGAAATCCTTCTGGTGCTGTACCTAACTATTCAATGGATATTCAAACAAAAGCAGAGGAAAACGCAGTAAACCAGTTGAACCCCGAAAAGGATCATGTTATCAACATGCCATCTACTAGAGACTCCACTCATGCATCTTCTGTTATTGCGATGAATATGGTTTGTCACAGTTCAGATGATGAATCAATGGAAAGTGTTGAAAATTCTCCTGCAGATGTTAATGATGTAAATTTCCCTTCTGTTGATTTGAATGAAACATCAGAGTTGAATAGCAGCTATCAAGCGCAACAGAGTGCTATTATCCAACCACCTTTAGAAAGATTAGGAGGAGAAACAGGTGTTAGCAGTTCAGATGCTTGTGGGGAAGTTTTGAACACAGAGATATTGACTGCACAGGCTAGGGATGGTCCTAGTTTTGGTATTAGTGGCGGAAGTGTTGGCATGGGTGCAAGTCACGAGGCTGAAATCCACGGGACTGATGTCTCAGTTCACCGAGGTGATAGTTTGGGCGATGCTGAGCCAATTGACGAGGTCATTGAAAATCAGGGCCAAGTTAGTGAATTTGCACCAAATCATGGAAATATTGGTGATTTTGTGCCAGCGGAAATGAGTCGAGAAGATCCCCAAGGGGATAGTCAAGCTGTGGTATCTCAGTCTACTGCAAGGGCTGATAGTGGCTCAAAAACTATAGCTTCAACCAAGGTCGAGTCTGTTGAAAGTGGTGAAAAAACCAGTTGTAGCACGGGGATGCTAGGCCTTGAAAATGGTGCTCATCCGTCCCTTTCTTGCAATGCTGTTGTATGTTCTGCCTATGAAGTGTCCAAGGAAGAAGTTACTCAGACTAGGAAGGCATCTTATATTGATGATGGGGCTCATCCGTCCCTTTCTTGCAATGCTGTTGTATGTTCTGCCTATGAAGTGTCCAAGGAAGAAGTTACTCAGACTGGAAAGGCATCTTATATTGCTGATAGTGAATATCATGAATCAGGAAATTTAGATGCCAATATTTTGGGTATGCTGGCTGATAATTTTTTTTATTTTTAAAATTGACAGTTCTTTCTTTCTCAATTTACTTGATATATTCTCTTCCAGTCTTGCCCTCTCATCCTATCATTCTCCTGATGCTCAATGTGACTAGTTAGTATAATCTGTTTTGAGTTATGAATAATTTCAGTCAGTCTCTCTCCTAACAGTATGATTATATGGTGCTCAATTAGACTAAGCCATTTGGTGATTGAAAATGTAAATGCCAATGACCAGCATGGGCAGTAATATAAAAAGGCCGTATAAAAATGGCTTGATTATTAGAGTGGAGGGAACAGTTTGTAAATCCAGAGGGAAGAAAGGGGCATGTAGCTTGTTGTTTGGATGTTTAGTGAGGAAGAGGAAAGCATGCATCCATTCCTTGCTTGAGAATTAAATCATTTTTCTCCATTTCCCGCCCCCTCCGTATCTTCCTAATTTAATGCTTACAATTCAGTTGTGAAAAAAAAAACATTTAAGAGAGAAGATATTGGCAAATGTAGAGTTTTTTATTTTGTCAGTTGTCTAAACTAAATTAGGAGCAGGGACAGGAAATGGAAAAAAAAAAGGGATGTAAGTCCTCTTGTTTGAGTTTTAAAATGGAGAAAGGAAGTAAAAGATAATTAAAACATTTATAACCATTATGCAAACATTTCTTAGGTTTTGTAAAAAATTACTTTTTTAAAAGATCAGTAAACATTAATTTTACTATTATTTTTTGTTTTGATTTACATTACATGCTTTGTGCTTGGGTGAATTGTATAGAAAAAGTAAAAGTAGCACATATGAGGCAAAGAAAACAATAAGGGCATTGTTGCAGATCGAAATCCTCAAAATTGCAATTAGTGGTGTAATATTTAAATTTTATGAATTTGATCCCTCTCCTCTACCTGTCCTTGCCTCCATTTTGGTTTAGTGAGAATTCATCTGCCTCCCCCCCCTCTTTTGATTTATACTCTGTTCTTGGGTGAATTGTTTAGAGAAAGTAAAGTGGAACATATGAAGGCAAAGAAACAATAAGGGCAATGATGCAGATTGTAATCTCCAAAATTGCAATTAGTGGTACAACATTTAAATTTTATGAATTTGATCCCTCTCCTCTACCTGTCCTTGCCTCCATTTTGGATAGTGAGATTTCATCTGCCTCTCTCTCATCCCCTTCCCTTTAGAAGCCTTCGTTTCCCATCCAAACACTAACTCCCATCTTATCACACATAAAACAACAATGTTTAAGTAACTTATAATGAGTATATTATACTTTTAGATACTTAATATATTGCATACTCATAGCTCAACAATCCAATAATTATCATGTTCTTATGTCAGATAGTATTATCAACTTTACTACTTATACCTGTTTCATGGTGGTCATGCAAATCGGTTATCAATGACAAGTGGATTAAATTTTAAACAATTACCCATATTTTTGCAAACACTAGTCACATAAAAATCTCAAATATCCTGAATTCAAGTACTACTGACGAAGTGTACCTTAATCTTCTGTTCCCATTATGTAGAAGTTTTCTTTCGTGATAAATGTTTCAAATTATGCTGATTAATTTATTTAGTCTAAGAAAATGTGCGCACCATTGTCTGCTACCTTATTCTCACATCTGTTTGCTGTACATTAATTATTGGGTTTGGTTCTAATCTTCAGGAACTCCTTACAGAGACAACATTAGTGGACGTGTTGAATTTGATCCAATCAAGTTACATAATGACTACTGTCCTTGGGTGAATGGGGATGTTGCGGCTGCTGGCTGTGATAGTCCTTGTTCCACTTCTGATGTGGGTACAACAGCTCTTTGTGGCTGGCAGCTGACTTTGGAAGCCCTAGATTCTTTCCAGTCACTTGGGCATCTTCCAGTGCAAACTCTGGAATCCGAGTCGGCAGCATCCATGTGCAAGGTTCGTTCTGGTTTTCTCAATCTTGTTCTATCCCTGAATAAAAGTTGATACTTCATTTTCATGTTGATATTTTCTGTGTTCCACCATTCTTTGCTTTCAAACACTTTTCTTTGAATGGTGATAACAATGGTTTTACAAGATATAGACTATTCTATTAAAGGTAAGGAATTAGCACTGACAACCGATGTAAGAAGGAACAGCAAAACGTGTAACAAGTCAGTGTATTATAAGTTAGGAATTATCACATACAACAGATACAAGATGTGAGGAACAACAAAAACATATAAACTATGGTGCAACACTTAGAAAATATTAACAAGTTAAATACTCTCTCCGGTCTCATGTGAGGAAAAATAACCAACCTCACACCCCTTACGAAAAGTAGTTCATTTCATTTAATTTTCTCAAAGTAATAATAAAAAAAGTAATTGTATTTTTCAAATTGCCCCTCATGGAAACTTTTTTTTAAAGGGAACTGATTTATTTCAATAAAAATCAAATCAATACAAGCTGGTACGTCAAAAATGATTGCACCTCATGGGAACTTGTTCCCTGAAAATTAAAGGTTTATTGGAAAATAAATCTAAATTAACTGAAGGGTAATATAAAATAACATTAAATATGAGAAAAGCAGTTAACATTTACTTATATTTATGACTATCAAACACGACTTTTTTGTTGTTTTCATTTGAGACCAGAGAGAATATTTTACAAGGGCTCTTATAAATTTGTAAACTAGTGAAAGACTAAAGTTTATGTGGACCACTGTAACCAAAATGACCATGAGAAAAAAACCTCAGTGAATATGTAAAGATATATTAGTCAAACTAACATTCTCAAATCTGATATTGTAACCATTGAACAAAGAGAGGTCTCTATAAAGGGGACATAGGTTTTTAGCAAGACCGGGTTGCAAAACCTGAATTATAGCCCATCTCGAAAAGGATAGCCGTGGATAATCTGTTCCACGTTTTCTCTATCGTGCTTGCGATCCCAGTCCAATCCTACTGCTCCATGTTTTCTCTATAGTGCTTGTGATCCCAGTTCAACCCTACTGCTTCTCGTTTCATTTCATCAAGCTCGATAGACCTTCATAAGGTCTCCATAAGCGTGTTAATTGGCATTTTCTAATGTCACCAACTCACTGTAAAATGTCATGTATCTGGCAGTGGTACCTTTTGCAGTACAAGTCTATATAACTATTATTTATTTATTTGTTGGCTTGAAATTTGTTTTTTTTCCTTTCTATGTAAGACATAATTTGCAGTTTCTTATCTTCATCTCCTAGAAAGGGCTGTCAATGTATCTTTAAAGAAAACCAATGATAATGAAACTTGCAGTTTAATGTTGCATTATATTAGATTGTATTTCTGTTGGATGGAATATTCTTGCTGCTTAACATGTTTCTTGCAGGGTGACTGGTTTACTTCCAGCCAGAAATTGTTAGCGCGCAACTCCTATGTAAGAAACGGGGGGAGAAACTAAGACCTTCAGAAAGTTGTCACAAGTTTAATTTCAATCGAGCTGATCCTCCAGAATGAGTATTATTCCTTCATCCCAATTATGGGAATGTTTTTAATAGCGTCAGTCCAATCTTGTTCTTTTTTCAAGTCCTTTTTGTTGCTGCAATGTTTTTGGTTACTCTATTGGATTATGTTTTTCTTGGGGGTCGAAATTTGGATTTTGGTTTGGTATGTATTAATTTAATAAAAGTAGCAATGGGTCAAAAGCCTTATTGACATGTAGAAATTCATATTGTATGATAGAAAATGATAGTGAGTGATGAAGTAACTTCATTGTTGCAACTTCAATATAGTCAGAAAGGGCTCTTGTGATTAATTTTGGAGCCTGACACCTTTAGAAGATTAACAATTTTTTTCCATAATATAATACATTTCATTGTTCTATTATCAAGGTACCATTTGGCCTGCCTTTTTCTTGACTTTTTCTTCTACTTTTAAGCAGCAGACCACACAATGTTTGAGAAAAACTCAAAAAAATACGACTGTTCTATTAAAGATCACAGTTTATACTATTACTCAATTATTTTCGTTACCAGACATTTCATACATATTTCCATTTTATTTCATGTTATCTTATCAAAAAATTTATTAATTCATGTCTCAGTATCATCGTTTATTTTATGTTATAATGTTAAATATTATTGTTGTGTGTAGCATATGGAGGATTATATTATTATTAATTTAGTTTGTTAAATTGATTTATTTTAAGAATGTTTATTTGTCTCATCATGTCAATTGTTTTTTTATTTGTCAATTATTCACGTCCACACATATTTTATATTCATAACTTTTTCATAATTTTATTATTATATTATTAATTTTTCTAAAAGTATTGTTTTTTTCTTATAATTTTTATTTTGAATTTATAATCAGTTTTCGTATAAAACAGTTCTAATGTATATAAATAGTATTATACATTTTAAGAATATGAATCAGAACATCAAATATTACTAACAAAATATTAAGGGAATCTACCTTGCACCCCACAACTCAAACCTGACTTTCCTAATAATGCCACGCCTACAATAGTTTACATTAGGGGTGGATGGCGTTTGGTTATGGGTGGAATCGGGCCCAAAATAGCTAACCTGAACTAATCCACGGTTGAAAAAATTGAACTCAATTCGTCCGAAACTAAGTTTGGTTTTATTGGTTGACAAGTTATTGGTTTAAACGGTTTATTCGGTTGGATTGAATTGGTTTGGACCAATAAATTTTAACATAAGTTTGGTTTTATTGGTTGACGGGTTATTGGTTTAAACAGTTTATTCGGTTGGGTTGAATTGGTTTGGACCAATAAATTTTAACATAAGTTTGGTTTTATTGGTTGACGGGTTATTGATTTAAACGGTTTATTTGGTTGGGTTGAATTGGTTTGGACCAATAAATTTTAATATAAATTCTATCATTCACTCATTGCATTAATACTCATTAAATCTCATTCTATATAAACTATTTTCATTATATTACATTTCTATCATCATCCAATTGATAAAGTATTAAGTATTAACATTATATTACAATTTCACAATCATTTAATTAATAAATTAATACATTATATTACAAATTTATTATAAGCCAACATATACTCCATATTCATTAAAACTGAACTACATCACCATCACAACATCGTCACTCTCAAAATAATTGTGCAACCTAACACAATTAACAGACACAAATAATCACAATTAAAAGACACAAATAATCACAATTAAAAGACTTCATATTTCATATGCTATACTTGCACAAAACATAGTTAAGAACGTGAATGTATGAAAAATAATTAGAGTCAGTAAGTATTGTCAAATAACATTCATACATTATTTAGTAGATTTTTTTCTTTCAAATAGAAGCTATAACATTAACACTGCAGTTGGCTAAATTGCACACAACAGTGTACTACTAACATCAACATAACCAAATAGTGTCTTACAAGAATCTTTCTTTCAAATGGTTATGAATACATATGTTGATCAATGCTGTAAGCTCCCGTCAAAAACTTTCCCAAGAAATTCAGGATATAAAAAACCAAGCATAGGAACATTGAATAATGCTTTGTCAATCATATAAAAAGAAACAAATAAATACAACCGATAGATAGAACTTTTTAATAGAACTACCATCAACAGAATAAAAAATCACATACTTCTCAACTACTGAGAAACCTTATTATCTAAACAAAGCCCAAAGAGTAAAAATCTCATATCCTATTGACAAGTCTCTACAAAATATGGAAAGAAATAGTAGGACACCAAAACCAACATTTTACTACAATTATTGATCAAATGCCTGTAACATTTCTGCAAGAACGAAAGTTACGACATGCTAAACTATAACAAAAACCAATAAAATTTTAAATTCAAAGAAATAATGCTTATAAGTCAAATAGATCAGTAAGTTTTCCAAGCTCCGGCGAAATATGTCCACTTAGAATAGTTTCATTCAATTTCTTACAAAAGATTGCATTAGTTGATATTAGGGATTTTAATACACATGACGATTAGCAGAGAGCAAAGCGAAATAAACTTCTTCATATCACAAGCATATTTGACGAGTTAGATATAGAAGTAGAGAAATTGATTTTGAAATCATCGTTAACTATTTGAGAATTTCAGGTAACTTCTAGCTTAAGCATCTTATAAATAATGAAGCTTTAACATATTTCCAAGCTCCGAAAGAATGAAATCAGTAACCTTATTTCCATGCAAGTACTTGCAAACATTTCATAAATTGTGTGCTTCACCGTATGAGAATATGGATTGTTTTGGGAAGTTGTTGATGCTAATGGATTGTTTTGGGAAGTTGTTGATGCTATTATACACAAATTATGAGCTACACCATATAGAAGCAAATACGTTTACAGAATGCAATATATTTTTAGTGGATCAAATGTGAGGATATTGGCTGATCTATTATCAGAAAAAAAAATGAATTGTTTAGGATATTGGCTTATATATAAACAGATTATCCATAATAATCAGTAGTCCAAAATAAGGTCATTTTCACAAATGACTCAAAAAAAACAAACTAAAACGAAACAAAAAAATTAATATATTTAATAAACATATATATAAGTACAGAAGTGAAAAATGCACAAACCACTAAGTATGTGATTAAGATGAACCAACAACTGGTTCTTTTTCTCTTCCAACAACATTAGAATCACCACCAGATGTTGATCCATTAGCAGATGAACCACCAAATTATGCAAAACATTAAACATAAATCAAACAATAAAATCAAAATCAAATCCAATATATTAGTAGACTAAATACACAATTTTATATACCTAATACAATAGTAAAAGACACCTCAAAATCTTCATTTATATTCAGGTCCTTGAATTGACTAAGTGTAGGTTTCAACTAGTTCTATGCACAAATCAAATCGTCTACCATTTTAGGGCTTAACGAGCTTCTATATGTGTTTAGAACTCTGCCCCCGATACTAAACATGCTTTTAGAAGCGACCGTTGACACGAGATTAGCTAAAACATCTTTCAACATTTTTTCTAAAATAAGGTACCTACAAGAGTTTTGTTTCCACCATATAAGGATGTCAAAGTTAACATCATCAACACAATTATCATCTAAGTACCTCTCAAGATCATTTTTTTATTTATTAAATCTTTTTGTTTTAGGTGCTCCTTAAAAGCTTCAACCCTTGCATTATGTGATGAAATTTCAGCATTAGAAACAACATCATCATCAGGTGAACTACCCTCAACATGTTGTTGGTCATGTATACCCTTGTACCAATTGAATAATTTAAACAACTCTTTTTTTTTTATCATATCAATCAGATTAGTAAAAGGCATAGACTCATCACTAAACATATCATTAAAACACCACACCACATATCCTAACTTGTATTGAGGGTCAAGAATCACACCAAAGTAAATAAACTTGTTGATATTTTCAATTTCTCCCCAATATTTGTCATACTTCTGCTTCATTTCATATCCCATTAAGGCTAAAATTGTTTTCAAGTTCATGGATGATCTTTTCAGCTCATAGTGGACTGAAGCTAGCTGGTTGAATGACTTATGAAGGGACACTTGTTTTGACGAAGAAAATTCCATAATAGTTTCATGGATTTTTTAAAAAAAAACTTAGAAGACACCTACCATTCTCCCAATCCTTAAGAGTAGGGGGCCAACTAACCCAAAAAATTCCAAATAGCTAAAATCTTCACCTTTCATTTTCTCAAACGCTGCTTGATACTTTTCAGCAACATCTAGCATCATATAACATAAATTTCACCTTGTTGGAACATCAAGATATAAAATTTTCTTACAATTAATTCTAGCAAACTCAATAAATTCTTTGGACTTTGCTGATCTTTAGGTGATGACCTCACAAACCTAACAACATTTCTAATGGCACAAATAGATAAATTATTTTGTTTTAAACCATCACGAACAACCAGATTTAGAATGTGTGTACAACAACGAAGATGAAAGAAAGATCCATCACTCATTAAACCACTCATATTATTAATCCTCTTATTCAAATAAGCAACAACTACATCATTATATGTAGGGATGGCAAAAAAGCTCGTGCCCGCGGGTATCCGCGGATATAATTCGTCACGGATACAATGTGGATAGATTAATGGATATCCATGGATAAAATAAATGGATATTTAAATATCCGTTATTTAATGGATGTGGATGCGGGTTTAATGATACCCGTACCCGCATATATCCATACCCGTTAATAAATTATAAAAAGTATTTAAATATTTTTAATTTATTATAGACGTCATTACATCTTCCAAGAAATTTAGTCTTTTCATATTTCTTTTTTTTAACGTTTTCTTGGAAGAAAAAGAAAACCTTTCACATTCCAAGAAAAATCATATTTAGTCATTTTATATTTATTTAGGCTTCTTCTATATTTAGACCTAACATCTCTTTCACTTTCACAATTCCACTGTCCAACTCCAACCCAAAGAACCAGTACCGTCTTTTCTCTATCCAACACTGCAACTCAGAGTCCTAATTTCCTAAATGATTAAGGTAATCTATCTACCTTGTTACATTTTTGTTCTTGTTCTTGCTATTTTAATTTTAATTTTGGTTGTTGCAACACTGAAGTAGTAATAGGTTGGGGCTGCAAAATAGTTTCTTATTTAAGGCAATTATAATGCAAAATACTAAATCCTAAACTAGTAAAAAGAAGAAGCACTATATACATTCTTTTCGTTTCATTGATATAAAAATGATATTCATGTGTGATATTACTTTTTGTTTTATTTAAACAATTATTATATGGTATGATGAATTTTATTTTGTTAAAAATGAAATGTATGGATATTATGTTTGAATGTTATTATGTTTAGTGAAAAAAGAATGAAAATAATATGATGAAGTTTAGTTGTTAAATTGAGAGCGAAAAAATATATTTTTAAAAAATGATTTTAGACAAAAACAAGTTATTCATGGATATCTGTAAATATCCGCGGATACCTTAAAACCCGTGATTACCCGCTTAACTGATATCCGCATGGATATGGGGCAGATACGGATATCATATTTATCCAACGGGGCAAACACGAATAATCATACTATCCCGCCCCCATGGATATCCATTTACATCCCTAATTATATGTTGCATTGTCCACAGTGATTGTGGACACATGCCTTATTCAATAATCCCTTAAAATGTCTTCAACTTGCCTACCAATTGTCTCACCCGTATGATTAGGAACTAAATAAAAATTTAGAATTCTATTTTCATACTTTCAATCATTGATAATGAAGTGTGCAGTTAGGGTCATGTAGCTACTATTCTAAATGAATGTCTAACAATCAGTGGTTAAGGCTACCCTATTGCAATAAGATTTGAAATAACCTTTCAATCTTACTTTTTCATCAACAAAAAGTTGAAAACAGTCCCTCGCCACAGTCCTCCTTGATGGATTAGTTAGTTAGGGTTGTAATTGTTTGCATAGAAGCTTAACTCCTTCACCTTCAACTACCCTAAAAGAATGTTCATCTAGGATCACAAAGAGAGCAATAGTATTCCTACAAGCTTCCAGATTAAATCGTTGGCTTGCAGTAATCAAACCACCACCCTCTCGCACTAGTAAAGGAGATGCAGTTTGAGTAGGATCATTTTGTGGCATCTTGATGCATACTGTTTATGTAAGAAAGCATGTTAGGTGTCCCATGAGATTTTGGGTCACACAAATATTTTTGATGACAGTGTTTGTAAGCAGCTACTGGTTCGGTTTCATTAGGAAGTTTAATAAAGTGGTCCCAGAAAGGAGAGGATTTCCTAGGACCATTAGCATTTTGTTTTCTCTTCTTTCCAAGTGGAGAAAACCCAATAGCATGAATTTCAGTGGTAGCAACATCAATTGCATCAACACTAGATGTTAATGTAGAAGGCTGGTGTTGAGTATCATTCTCCATTACTAAAAGTTAATGAAGATTATAATCGACACACAAACAACATCATCAACTCATTAAGTATTTATATCCTTAGTTTCAAAATTTGTTAAATTGCATGACTTAAGTTTTAATTCTCTCTCATCTCACATGTGTATAGATGAATTATGTGTATAGATGAATTATAACTTATGTTTTAATTCAAAATTGTTTCTAAATCAAAACCTGTTTGCCTAATTTTCTAAATCCAATAAATTTTTTTCATGTAGCTATTTCTACTTAAGTTTCTAGATCCAAAACTGTTATTAGCTAATTTTCTAAATTCAACCTCTTAAGTTTCTAAATTCAAATGTTTCTAACCATACATAAGCATACATAAAATCCAAATCCAATATCTCATGGGGACATGTTCACATATTCAAATTGTTTCTAAATCCAAATTGTTTCTAAGTTATTAGCATATTCACATAAGCATACATAAAAAAACAACAAAATTTGCATCAAAATACCTATTTGATCTAAACAAATTCACATATTCACATTATTTCATTAAATTAGAAACCAAACTAAACAAAATAAATTAGCATATTCACACACACACAAACACACACACAGAGAGAGAGAGAGAGAGAGAGAGAGAGAGGAGAGAGAGAGAGAGAGAGAGAGAGAGAGAGAGAGAGAGAGAGAGAGAGAGAGAGGGAGAGAGAGAGAGAGAGAGAGAGAGAGAGAGAGAGAGAGAGAGAGAGAGAGAGAGAGAGAGAGAGAGAGAGAGAGAGAGAGAGAGAGAGTAGAGAGAGAGAGAGAGAGAGAGAGAGAGAGAGAGAGAGAGAGAGAGAGAGAGAGAGAGAGAGAGAGAGAGAGAGAGTCAAACTCAAATATACACATAACAATATATTTTGACTAATTAAATTCAAAATTAAAAACTAACCAACTTGAATTGTGCTAAACTAATTCAACTGGGATTCTGCAACAACTGACATAATTTCGACTTAACTTTAATTTAATGTTGTGTTGGTTAAAATTCAATCCAATTATAAAACTAAAACATATTGACTTTATATTATGAATTAGTTCAAAAATAAAAAAAAATTGTGTGGTAAAAGTACTTTATTTACTACCTGATGCTAGAACAAAGACTCCCTCTTATTCCACAGTTGCCACAAGTTGAGCCGAATATTCTAGTGTCGCCGCAACCAAAGCAACAATTGGCTTTGTAAGACTGTTTTGAATTTGTTTTCTGTAGGGAGAATCATATATTATATATAGGGAGAATCAAATAAGAAATATTAATGTTTAAGAATTAAAAACAATAATTGAAAAATCCTGTCTAATCTATCTCAGGAGAAATTAAGGAAAAACATATCAATGAATAAAAATAAATAATAATGATTAATTACAGCCGACAATTAGAATATGGAACTTGCACACTCTTCCATACCTTAGTAACCTCAAGAAACCTCAAAACTTGTCTGTAAAGCTTTGAAGACTCGAGTACGAGTAAGGAAATCCTGAAGATCCATGGAGAAACTATAAATGGATGAAGACTAAAGTCGGAAAATAAAAAAGTTTAAGGCAAAACACCAGTGATGCAATTAATCACACAGGTGGCGTGCATGTTCATGTTAGCTAGTGTCTAAAATTAAAAGTAACATTCTTAAACAGAACATGACATATAACTTATGAGAGTTTACTCTGTTTTCTATGTTGTTCCTGCAAACAATTTTATCGAGCATTACCACCCATACGATTGGATCCACCGTTGTTATATTTTCCTTTTGAAAGCAGACAAACTATTGAAAATAATGTTTATGTATATAATATAATATATATAAATGATTATATAAACAATGGAAGGAAAAAGGATTTATGAAAGGAAATAAAGATGATTATATTAACTCAATTCATATAAATTCAATCCACAAAATCACTACAATATATATAAATTACATCGGAAAAATCACTCAAAATCCATAAAATCCATTCACTCAAACATAAATCAAAAGGAAAAGAAAAGGAAAAATCAAAATATATTTTCACCATAAATTAAATCGGGAAAGGAATGAAAGATAATGAAAACTATGAATGAGAGAGTGAAAAAAGAAACTATTACAAATGAAACCACTACAAAATTTGTAAAAAATTAAGAAACTACAGTAAAGATTCAAAAAGGCAGAACCTTTAAGGATGAACATGAGTGAAAACTTCATCAACCGTCCACGCTCGATTTGTGGTCCATGTTGACAACACAATCTACATAAACAAAAAGAAACATGTAAATTAGAAGAGAATACAACCATAACATGACGACGACAGTGTATGGTTTCACGGAAGAGATAGGAGAAGAGAGAAACAGAGGTGAGGGCGGCGAAGTAGGGTTGATGGGGGAAGAAAGGTGAGAGAAAAATAGGAGAGAGAGAGAGAGAGAGAGAGAGAGAGAGAGAGAGAGAGAGGAGAGAGAGAGAGAGAGAGAGAGAGAGAGAGAGAGAGAGAGAGAGAGAGAGAGAGAGAGAGAGAGAGAGAAGGAAGTGTGAGAAATGAAAAGAGATTTGAACTCAGAGAGAGGGTTCTTGCGTGGAAAAAGAAAAAGAAAACCATTTTTTAGGATACCCAAAGAATGAGCAACACAAGGCAGATTAGGAGAGAGTTTGCTGTGTACTATTTGTGCCATTTGTTAGTTACAAAAATGTACTTTTAATAGTACAAATAATTTTTAGTGTAAGGGTAAAACGGTAAAAGTATCCAATTGAATTTTGAAGGGTTGATAGTTGATAGGGTTATGTTATGTGTGTGAAGTGAAGTTGCATTGGGCCAACAAAATATCAATACCAGCCAAACCAAGTTATAAAAAACACATACAAAATAAATAATGGTTGTTGGGCTCAGTCGAATTTGGGCTTCGCTGGGCCTGAAGCAAAATCTGATTTCACCCATTCAAACCCAAACAAACTCATACATGCTTACCCGTTTCACCCGCGACCCGACCCATTTTCACCCAGAAATCATTTTTTGAATCGGGTTGGACGGGTATCGGACGGTTCGGGCTTGTTTGTCCAGCCCCAGTTTACATCTCTCAAATTTTATAGTTATGGTAAAAATTCACTCTTAAAAGAGCTAGTAAAAGACAAAAGACTCGATAATATAAAGTAAAAGTTCGGTAAAATTTATTCGAAATTTTTAGTTTGAGACTCGATAATATAAAGTAAAGTTCGGTAAAATTTATTCGAAATTTTTAGTTTGAGTTTTTAGCAGATTTTAGTGGAAGTAAAATTTTGGTGTGAAGGTTTATTGAATATTTATAAAATTTCAGTGTGTATTTTGATTTATTGGATATTTGGAAAGTCAGGTATTTCAGATTTTTTTTCTTCATCCCAAAAATTTGGTAGTTCTAACTTTGTTGTTTACCTATTCTTCATGAATGCATGTGATAGATGGTTTTTCAATCGATTTTACATAGTTCTTCACTATTGACTTTATATATTTTACTAACATGTTTTGTTAAAAATATGATTGAGACTGTTTTGATGTTTTCGTATGGTTGGGATTGTATTGATATTTTTGTATGATTACGAATGTATTGATATTTTGTATGATTGAGGTTGCACCAATACTTTTCTATGGTCGTGATTGCACTGTTATTTTTGTATGGTCCATTATAATTTAAAACTTGTATAAGTATGTCTCTTATATTGTTAACAAAAACACATTAGTTTCTAAATATTGACATATCACATTTGTTTAGTTTACTTCAACGACTTGAGTGCTCCTTTTGAATTTAGGGTCACATAGGACACCCTCTTGTAGATCTGAAATACAAGCTAGAAAATCTCTTGCACTATCCAGACAACCGAAGAGTGATTAAGATTGAATGTTGTTCACCCTCGACTGGTAATTATAGGAAGACTATTGTTCAATAAGTTTGAGCTGAAGATGGATAAAAATATAAGAGTATTGTGGAGTATAATTTACTATTACACAACAAATGGTCCAATCGAGGAGAATGTGAATCTTGCGAGATCTACTGACGATATTCTGAAGATGATGAAACCTCATAAACCATCTATCAATGACGATGAAATATTTTGCTAGATTTAAGTAAAGTTCAGTTTATGTTATGTTAGGTTAAGTTATGTAATGTTCATGTAATGTAACATTAAGTTAAAGTCTCAGCAAAATAAAATAATTCACTACAACATAAAATCATTTGAAACAATACAATAATGTCATAGAGACAACAAATAATGAACAAACATATAAAATTTAAATTGGTCTACCACGAACAATGTGTGCTATTTGCAATGTTATTGCATAAACTTCAACATATGGGTTTACCAAATACATGAGGTTATCATAAAAAATTCTATCATCTGTATTTACTATTGATCAATCACACCGAATGGTGGAGGCAATGATATGTCATTTTAATGTCCTCCATAATGCGAAGGTCTGGTAACATCTGTAGGATCAACATGTGGGATGATGCGAGGGTGTGATAATCTACAATACCACTTTAAATGACCATTCATACACAATCTAGGAAAAGACACAACCACTTCATTTTCTCTAATACCACGAGAACTACTCATAATGTCAGACAAAAACTATATATTAATTCCAAATGGTACAATAGGGATTGATCTAGGAATGTTTGAGACATAGCCATACTGGCGAAGACACCTCTCAGGTAAATATGCATCAACAACATTCTCCCATCGCAAATAACTCAGAAATAATGTAGTGTCATTGAACTTTATATGAAATCATCCAGAGTTAGAGCATCGATCCTCCGCTTGTACTCCAAAAGACCGTATAAATGTGAACTCTTCGAGCTCCATCCTGTGGCCCAATGGGAGCCTTCTCTGATAGTACCACGATCTTTCTTGTGTCAAATGGACGAAAAATAATCGTATATCCAACACTACATTAAAATAAATGATTATACTACGAATTAGATATGCTAAATATAAATAATAAATACTCACAAAATAAAACATAATCAATATTTATACCTGAAATAGACTCATGTA